TATTGTTGTTGATTTTTTATAATATTGTTTCGAGCTTCATTTACTAATTTTTCGAGATATATTCTAATTTTTTGACTGTGCTCTGGATCTTGTGTGAGCGAAATAATTTCTTTTTGTTGATCAAATGGAAGTGTAACTTGTCTTCCATGCATCATTTCGAATGGTGTTTGTTTTGTTGTTGCATGTATTGATGTATTATAATTAAATGTAACAAATTGTAATACTTCATCCCAGTCTGTACGTCGTTCATTACATAAAGCGGCAATTTTTCCATCCATAGTTGCATTGAATCGTTCAATTTGTCCATTAGTTTGTGGATGATATACTGTGGAATAAAGATGAGTGACTCCAATATTTTCAAATAATTTGTTCATAACTTGAGAAGTAAAATGAGTACCATTATCAGTTAATATACATGTTGGAGTGCCATATTTTAATATAACATCATTAATAAGAAATTTAGCTGCTGTTGCTGCTGAACAATCTCGAACCGCCTTTGTAATAACAAATTTTGATAAAACATCGGTAAGAGATATAATGTATCTATTTCCTTTTTTTGATGTTGGAGTTATTGGACCATGAAAATCCATACTTAATAATTTCCATATTCCTTCGGGTGGTGGTATTGGTTTTAATTTTCCTGGTAATTTTTGACGGCGATAATTATTTTGTGCACATGGTAAACAGGAATTTAAATGATTTCTAATATCTGCTATCATTGTTGGCCAAAAATAACGTTCTTGAATTTTTCTTATTGTTTTGTCACGTCCAAAATGAGCTCCATTAGCAGGTGTATCATGATAAATTTTTAATATATCAGCACGTATTCGTCCTGCTGGGTCGTATGGTACTGATGGAAGTGGTAGTTGTTGTTTTTCAATAATATTCCATCTTCAATAAAATAATGTTTTTTATTCTTAATATTCTTTTTTATTTCTTGAATTATTTTGTCTTCTTCTTGACATTTTCTTAAATCATCCATATCAAATGGGATGATCTTGTTTGGATTTTCATCTGTTGGTTTGATTATCAGTTCTTCATCAGTCGCTACTTTCCCTTATTGGATGAGCTCATTAATTTTTCCATCCGTCGGTTTAATAGATGGTGTTGCCGTTGCTTGTTGTTGTAATTTGGCTTGAGCTCTAGTAATCGCTGTTGTTATTTTTAATGGAATCACATTATCATTTAATGATGAAAATGATAAATCTGTTTGTGTGGATGTTGATTCATACTGAGTTCGTTCTTCAATATCTTCTTCAGCTATGTCGACTGGTGATCTTGAAAGATAATCTGCCATATAATTTTTCTTACCTTGAATATGTTTCACCTTAAATCGATATTCAGCTAATTTTA